CCCACAGTAAGTGTGAGATCTCCGCCCACTTCACTACTGCGATTAACTCAAACTGACAGGTTAAGACAAGAAACGGTAAAAATCCAAGGGAACGACCCCAAGTAAGGACTTGTTTGAACAAGAACCCTTCGTCCAGTACTAATGCAGTTACGGGGTCTTATTGAGAGCGTGCCCGACGACACAGAGCACCTCCCTTTTTCAATCGAACATCATTATTCCCATTCTATCATTGGTACACTGTGCTTTTAAGAAGCAGAGAGGTAATGATAGTGGATTCCAACGTACCAGCTTCAATAGCAGGTTCGCCATTCTGGAAGAACTGCAGAGCGATTTTCTCAATAACTAGAGAGAAGAGATTGAAAAATGGTAGAATCGTTATCAATACAAGGCTCTGGAAAAAATAAATATTTTTTATTTTCAAAGACCGCACAGTTTTATCACATACCTTCTGGTAGTACCCACGATGAATAGAAGCGTCTTTTTGCTGACGAAAATGCACAAAACCATAAAGGTAGTTGGGATCAAATGATGCTGCATGGGCGGAGCACTCCAAAAGAGCTCTTTGCGAGGCAGTGATTTCAGTCGTTCCCCTTTAAAGAACGATATTTAGACATAGCTGAAACTGATTAGGCAACGTTAAGACTTCGCGTCGGCGCTCGTCGACACGCGTCACCGCAAAGTATGAACGCTGGCTCACAAAAGAAAGAAGAAGCTAATGCTATCGTTCCTACCTTCTTATGCGGAAATGGAAATTCGTATCCTTAGTATTACCACTGTTGGAGTCTGGAAACGCCAAATAACAGATATTTGTTTTTTCCTGAGTGCTCAGAACTGCATCTCCGGGGTATATCACCTGAAACACAGGACAAAAAATCTAATAGAAGAACAACTCAATAAGAAGGAAGAAGATAGGATCATTCTACAGAAATTCGGCGCTGTTCGGCTTAGTGGGGGCATTTCAGTGATTTCCATTGGTCAATGCTTATGCGTGCTGTGAGGACCTGTAAATTCGTGTAAACATATGCAGCAGCAGGACTTCAACCACCTCTGACAAGGGTTCGCAAATTTCGCCAAGGTAAACGTGTAATTCAACAGCGATTAGCAAAAAAAATCAGCCAGAGTGCAAAATGCCCTCCCAAGCCAAACACTGCCAAATTAGGAATCCATTAAGAAGCTAATTGTAAGGCAAAGAAGGCAGTAGTTTACCATCACTTCTAGAGCTCTACTTTCCAAAACTACTCTGGTCCCAGGAAATCTACAAGTCGCCTAATTTCTCTCGTTTTCCAAAGCTTACGCGAACGACACTGTGGGGAAAGCGTCTTCAAACTTCTACAGAGGGTGGAACTTTGGCTGACAGATGCATCGTAACTCGCTTCTCCATAGGGAGGGGCAGAATTGCGCAGAGCACCCAAAACATTCGAAAACAAAATAACAAAATATTCCTTCGATATGCTTGTCGGCGCAGTTTGTCGGGCACCAAATGGTACCCAGCAAAGTCTGTGCAAGCCACATTGGAAAGTTCTTCATTTTCAGCGAAGCCTTTACAGGCCACCTTGTGAAGTTTTGTAAGTTCTTGTAATGAAAGTGGCTTACTTGTCCATTTCTCAGATTCACATGAGTTTACAGGTCTCACCAAATGAGACGTGTTAGTTGACGATCTAGGAAACGAACCAGCGAAAGTAACGAATGCCCCCCCCCGCCGAACAACGCCTGCCGGTCGCTAGCAAAAACAGTACGCAATCAATGTTCGAAAAGTAATGATATCGTATAGAGTAAGATTACTATCGACTATCTCTAAGCCCCTCAAGTTCACGCGAAAAAAAACCCAATTCCTGCTAGTTCATAATCCTTTCTCTGCTTCATCCAGCGCAAAATGCCGTCTATCATCCAAGAAAACTCGGGCAAAAGGGCAAACAAACAAAGCTCGTCACATTGCGTGGAATTAAAAAGATCACCGTAATCGCAGTTAAAAATGCCCCGTGCCCTATACGATGCTCACAATTACCGTGAATTATTAGTAGGCCCAGAAACAGGGATTAGTTCCGGCAAACGTCGCCAATGTAGTCGGGAGAGGGGACATACGGCGGACCGTCTATGTCCCTCCCTCAAAAGGCTAAGGCCAGAAAACCGCCTACGAGAATCAACGCTGCGTGGTCTCACAGAGCAGATAAGCAGACATAGGTTTCGAGTCTTACCCCCCCCCCTCCACCATACACATTCGACCTATTTTAGCACCGGAAATATGTCACTACCACTGATTTATTTCCAGGACACAGAATCGGTGAAATATTCCATGAGAGGTCGGACAGTTGTTGGGGAAGGGGGGGGGGGGAAAGGTCGGGGCGCACCTGATCCTTACATCTTTGAATTCTTGTGAGCCAACCGCTAGAGAAACGTCACCGGTCACTGTTTGTTTTTTGTTTATGCGTGGGCGTGTTACCCTTCCATCCCCTTTGGTTTCGCTGCCGTTAATTCCTATTCAGTTACTGTTCCAGTAGTTCTTCGGCGGCGGCCTCTGCTCCGCTCAACGGGGAGATTTCGGGGGTTCGCCCGCCACTTACCCCATCCTGGGGCTGAACCTCATTCATCTTCACTATGCGAGGCGCTAATCCAGTGAACTGGGGCACCTCCGCGCAGAGACCTGTGGGAATTTGAAACCACGAAGAATCTTGACATTTACCAGGTAAATACCCCAACTTATCATGGAACTTTGAATGGAGATTTGGGTAGATCGATAGTCTATAAGGTTATTTACAAATATAGATAGCAAAACTGCAACCTGCATTTCACAAGCAACTTATGAGCAGGTAAAGTTTGTAATGGTGCAGTAGGGTGGAGGCTTGGTGGTGAGCTGTGAAGCATAAGCGAGGAATCGCATACGTCGAATCGAGTCGTGGTGGTTCAGTGGTAAGGTTCGACGTTCGACGATTCCTCGCTTATGCTTCACAGCTCACCACCAAGCCTCCACCCTACTGCACCATTACAAACTTTACCTGCTCATAAGTTGCTTGTGAAATGCAGGTTGCAGTTTTGCTATCTATATTTGTAAATAACCTTATAGACTCTATCGATCTACCCAGGTCTCCATTCAAAGTTCCATGGTAAGCTGGCGGACTTCCCTGGTTAGTGCTGGGTTGGCTCACAAGAAATGGCGCTTTTTTCTTACACAAGTTTTATATAAAAAGCAAAAATCGCCAATGTGTTGTATGCTAGTCGACAGACAATTTTCCTGAATAAGAGAGTGTACTTGCCTTCCTAGTATTTCTTGATTTCTGTCAATTTTTATTCCATTGAAATGGAGTGTCGGGTCGACACAAAAGTGAGTTTTTGACAACACTTTTCTGCACTTTATCTCGGCTCTCAAATTACTGAAGAAGCTCAAAACTCGACTCAAGCTATCACGGAATGGGAATTCGGTTTTTGTGAACGTGCGGCCCTCCCCGGGAGCGACTACATACAAAGTAATTTTTGAATGTCTACATCCACTGGGTGATGCTTGATTATGATAAGGAAGCATTCCATCACCTTCAACGATTCCCCCATCCTTGGTATGAATCTCCATGAATAAGGTTATTCAGTAAGCTCTCATGGACTCAATAGGGCATTAGGTTCGACGCGTGTCTGTGAAGTCGAAATTCAAATCTTCGAATCGCGTATGTAAGCATTTCTTAGAAACCCAGCCTCTTGGCAATACACATGGCAACAATGCCTGTGCCCGGTTTTCAGTCAGAAGTAAAAAAAAGAGGCTGTCAAAAACTCTCAGTTTCGTCAACCTGACACTCCAGTTTGAGCAACGGAATATTGGTGGAAACAGAAAATTGAAAAAAAGTTGATTATTGAATAAAAGGACTGTCGCAAAAGGACTGGGCGAGAAATTCTCTACAAAACAATACAAAACTGATTTACATAACTTTTCACCTCCATCGCAATTTTTCGTAAGGAAGAAAAAAGCCATTACTTATGGGCCAACCCAATAAACCCTCTGGAAAATGAATCGGTTCCTGCATCCCTGACCTCTTTCCCTCTCCCATTCGCGAGGCTCATTTTAGGAAAAACCCTCGTCATTAGCAGTAATCGTTTCTTCGCTCTATTCAGCACAAAATGTCGTCCAACATTCAATACAACTCAGTTAAATGGCATGAACAATGCTCGTAACATTAAGCAGAGCTAGGGGATTCCTGGTATGAGATCACCGTAATCCGCAATTTAAAATGCCTCACCTCACCTGAAAAGTCCCCAGTGCTCTGCTCGCAATCACCCAGCCTCTAAGAAATCCAATCTACTTGTTTAAGATGGCTTTTTGCTCCTGAATGCGGTCATTCGATTCCCACGAGTCTCATTTTCCACCCCGTTTCGAATGGAAATTTGATGGAGAAACGCTTCATCCAACCATTTATGATGACAATGACGGTCATTGCAGAAGTCAGTCGTAAAGTGGAGAAGGAAGCGAAGTAATACATGAATAATAAAAAAGTATGGGGCGGTTCGAGCTACTTGGGGGGGCACACTTTGGCCCACTGTTCTACTTCTCCATCAACGCGTCCGACCCACTGCGTAAAGTTCACAGAGAGTTGACAACAATTGTACCCATAGATGACTCATTTGAGCCACGTTTTACCACGATGGACTCAGGAGCTTTCCAGCGCTCACAAACGATGCCGCAGGTTATCACCAAGGGCTGAGACTTGGTTAACCGCAGTCTGCGATAGGCAAGCAAAAGTGCAAAAGCCCTTCCTGTCGCCGAACTGACACTAGAAATATGTTTTCTTACCTCAAGTGCTTGTCCCAGCTCCAAATCGAAAGTGACAACACAGATCGAATGAACCCAATCATTGAAAGCGTTCCCACGTGGCCAGTTCAACTGGCTGCAGCCATCTCAAAGAGGCCACGAAACTCTAAAAAAAAACCAGATATGTGCAATGATTGTAATAGTAAGAAACACGTGTGACGCGTGAAATTAATCGAAGTTCGGACGTTACGTGATGAGCAAGGATTAATGGGAGGCAGGGGTGGCTCGCACTTCATTCGAGGCCGAAAGCAATCGAAGAATATATTAGCTAAACAAATAGATGCACACGCACACAGGACAGTCGCAAGACATATATTAGAGTAGGTCAGAAAGGGGAAATAATGTGGGGATGAAGAGGGAGTCAATAATCCTGGTAGTACAAAGGGTTTACTGGACTATGTGCAAAACCGTGGACTAACGTCACAGTTTATTAATACCAATTTGTTCACCACACCCGTTAGACTTCCTCCTGCTCGGGCACGGCATCGTTGCGAGAATCCCATCAGTGACGTACTTGATAGAATGCTGGGAGAGTTTTACCTATTGAAATTTTTTTCCAAGCCGCGAGGTATCTGTTTCCCGTTTGAACTTTTCCTCATTTTTTTCCCGTTCATGTTCGCACTCCCCGTTCCAACAACGGCAGGGGACCATGCGGTCGTGTTCGCTGCGGATCAAGGGGGAGGGGGTCAACGGATTGATAAATTAGCGCAGCGCCAACCATTTACCAAAAACCTTTACCACCTGTTATTGAAGCGTAAGCGACAATTGTGGCTGAAACGTACTTGATACGAACGATATAACATTGTCCTGTTTCTTTTTTGAGCGCTCGCTTCAACAACTGGAGGAAAACGGGCTTGGCATCGTGCCAAACCCATGCTGCACGACACGCCCTCTCCATCCGCAACGAACGAAGCTTTACGACTACAATTTTTTTAAAGCAAATCAGTTTGTTAACTAACTTGAGCTCGCCTCGTTATTCAGTTTCCAGCCGACAGTCAGTTTTTATGGAGAAAAACTGCGTTTCCGTGGAAAACGGGACAAAGTGGTGGATATAGGAAAAATTTAGGAATACGATGGAAGGATAAGGAACGGAGGTGTACAAGATGAGGAAATTTGGGGAGGAGGTGGGGGGTCAATAATACTGACACCGGCAATGGCTTACCCTGGTCTCCTCAATCTTCAGACCATAGGCGCAGCCTCATTTCCCAAATTGCGGAATTCCCATTTTGCACAAAAGAAGCTCTTGCAGGAAACGCATACCCTTCTTTACCAAGTTTTTGACTGACGAACCGATGACTATACGTGTAGGCCCTCTAACAGCCATACTACGGGGCATTCACTATTATGATTCAGAACAACCTGGTAAACACAAAACTGTTAAACACCAGTAAAACATGAACAGATTTTATTTCACTGACTAAAACAAGAATGACGCAACGATGACGTCAAAAATAGAAAGTATAGCGCCTAGACTATCAATAAATAGCCTCATTATGAGCCGCCTACACGCACAACCAAGAAGGGCATTGCGTCTGGCGTTTTCTTGCCACAACAGTGGTCTTTGTTATCGCTCAATCATTTAACACTGCAACCGTGCCGAGACCACTGATAGCGCGACGCCTTGTGTAACGGTCGACAGAAAAAAAACTGGACACATTTCGGCGACTAGGAGGGGGGGGCATTGTGCACTTTCGTTGCTTCATTAGTCCCGGTTTACAAGTCTCACTCTGGTGAAACCTGTGAACTCTTGTGAAGCCTGGAAGCTTTGACGAGCCATGGTAGATGATCATTGCATGGCCCTTTCTTTGCTTCACTCTTTGATCTGACAGGTAACTTTACAAGCTTCAGCTGATGTCATTTCTACATACCTTACAAAGATTTCACAAGGTCTCACTCTTGTTAGCTCGATAAACGTCGGTTGAAGCAGCAAAAAATCCCTCCCCCCCCTCTGTCGCCGAATTGCGCCAAAAACCTGCCGCTAGTTCAATACAATTGAGCATTTTGGTGCAAAAGTTCGTTGGACTACGGTAATCCCGAATTCTTTTGCACGAGTACTTTTTCAATGCTGTGAAATGTTACGAGCTCCGTTCCTACCTCACTGCTTAGATCTTCCAGGCATTTAGCGCTTGAAGCTGCGATGAAGCGATTGTGAAGGATGGGGTGCAGTCTAAAAGACGGGACGAGTTCCCTAGAGTAGTAAAAGCACTCCGCCTTCATCGGAACTCTGTTTGCTCCTGCGCTAGAGTGAAGTGCTACTGTAGTTGAGAAAAGCCATGCACGGACATGACGATGAGATTCTTGCCCTCACGAAGCTCAGCATTACAATTATAGCGCGCAAACGACTAGAACCCAAGCCCTCGTCCCAGGACGCATGCTGTGAGCCAAAAAGCCCATTGAGACCGTTCATGATAGAAGAGCGATACATGGGCGCGAAACTAGTTCAAGGGGGGTGAGGGGGAGGGGGAAGGGGAGAGTTGTGGGGAGAGACAGGCAGCAATACATCTACGCTTTTCCTTTTCAAGGTTTGAGCCAGTTTTACCGAGTAACCGGAGTCGGGACACATCCTGATATTTGAAATGGGGGTCGTTAGAATCCCCCCCCCCCGCAAAACCTCCTCTGATACGACCCCTCTTTCTCCATCTTATCTACTATTCTTACTATCTACAGGTCTCACTAAGTGAGGACCTGTAATTTGACAGAAACTAGTAAGAGAAACCAGCTGTAGTGTAAATTCCCCTCCCAAGCCGAATGTCATGGAAATGGATCAGAAAGTTGACGCCAGTGAAATATGGTATGGTC